GAGACCCCAATACTACCCCCATCTCCACTCACAGGGGAAGAGGAAGCCACACGTGTGGCTGCTAAACTGCCCTTTACCTCTACATTTCTGATACAGCCTGACTGTGTTAAAGTTCCACTGTATCCCTGCCCCTTCTCTAAATCCCATGCAGAATTTAAAATGGCGGTCACGCCCTGCAAACCATCTGCAAGAGTAAGGGGACCTAATCCACCCCCTCCATAGCCAAAGCTCTTTCTGGCAGCTGATCCCCAACAGCAAGGAGCTTCAAAGCAAGCTCTCTTTCCATTTGAACATATACTCCTATTGCCAGTCTCTTCATCCTCCCCCTCCGTGCAGATCCCAAGTCAGTTTCCCCAGCTACACGTACCTTTGGCCTGGGGACACAATCCCCCCAGGAACCACAGGAATAAGGCTTATAACAGGGGTCGGCAACCTCTGGCACGTGGCTCGCCAGGGTAAGCACCCTGGCTGGCTGGGCCAGTTTGCTTACCTGCCGTGTCTGCTGGTTCGGCCAATCTCGGCTCCCACTGGCCGCGGTTCGCTGTCCTAGGCCAATGGGGGCTGTGGGAAGCAGCACGGGCCAAGGAATGTGCTGGCCGCCGCTTCCCGGCGTCCCCATTGGCCTGGAGCGGCGAACCGCAGCCAGTGGGAGCCGTGCTTGGCCGAACCTGTGGACGTGGCAGGTAAACAAACTGGCCCAGCCCGCCTGGTCTTACCCTGGCGAGCCGCGTGCCAGAGCTTGCCAAGCCCTGGCTTATAACATCAGCTGGTAGCACCACATAGATCCACTGATCTGTTCACAGTGATTTCTGCATCAGTCTCCACACACACAGACGTTTATGCCATCCCATCCCATCCAGAGAACCAGGGCCCGATTAACTTTTTGTGGGCCCGGCGCCAAACATATTTGTGGGCCCCCATTGGGGAAATAGGGCATGTGATGGGGGGCGGTCCGCAGAGTGAGGGGCCGGTTGGGGGCAATGAGACGCAGCGCAGCAGAAGTGGCCCCACTCAGCCCAGCACAAGGGCACTATTTACAAACCCCAAACTGCTAGACGCACACTGGCCCGCCCAGCCCTGCGCTGCCAGCGTGCCCCTTCCACACTGCCCCCCTGCCCAGTGCCCTGCCCTTATGCCAGTACCCCCTCACCCAGAGACTTCCCCCACAGCTCCCTATGCCCAGCACCCCCTGCCTAGAGACCCCTCCCGCTGACATCCCACCACAACTACACAGCACCCTGCACACCATACCCCCTGCCCAGCTCCCCCCCCCCACAGATCCACGATTGTCCAGCACCCCCTTCCCAGCCCCACCATCACAGCTGCATAGCGCCCCATATTCCTGAGGGAATTCTGCATCAAATTCTGTGCATAATATTTTAAAATTCTGATTTTTTTTTATAATAAATACATGTGGAAGCTCCACCATGGCAGTGGGGAGCACAGGCCACTGGCTGCATGGAGGTGGGAGAATACCCTGCAGCCTTCCCCCTCCCCTGGGATAGGGACTTGGCAATGAGACTGAACCTGACCCTGACACAGCACTGGGCCATGCCTGCCACAGAAACACCCTGGGGCCCTGCCCCTTTTGTGCCAGGCACACCAGATGTGGGCAGGGAGGCTCAGCCCGGCAGCAGGATCCAAGTGCAGAGGGACTTAGTGTGGGGGGATCCAGATGGGGGTAAGAGGGGTCTGTGTGGGGGGGGAAGTCTGGGTGCAGGCAGCTCAGTGCGGGATCTGGATGCACAGGGAGGTGCCAGGTGCAGGGGCAATGGGAGTCTGCAGGGGGGACCAAGTGAAAGTGGTTGGAGCTCAGCGGGGGTTGGGGTGGAGTCTGGGTGCAGGGGAGGTGGGGTTGTTGTGCTTAAAGTACTGCACAGGATGTTTCAGGGGAATAAGACAAACGCTACATTCATTGGTAATACATGCATCAATCAACACTGTATCATATGCATATGATCTATATTACACTCATGCACTCACATACACACACACAAACACACTCCATCTTGTTGTTGTTACCAACTAGTTGCTCCCCTTAACTTCCAAGGGGATCCGCATGCTGGGCCCCCGTTTCCCCTATCCCAGGGATCGGTAACCTTTGGCATGTGGCCCACCAGGGTAAGCCCCCTGGTGGGCTGGGCTGGTTTGTTTACTTGCCACGTCCGCAGGTTCGGCCGATTGCGGCTCCCATTGGCCGTGGTTTGCCGCTCCAGGCCAATGGAGGCTGCGAGAAGCCACGGCCAGCACATCCCTCATCCTGCAGCCCCCATTTGCCTGGAGCCGCGATCGGCCGAACCTGCAGATGCGTCAGGTAAACAAACTGGCCTAGCCCACCAGGGGGCTTACCCGGACAGGACGCGGGCCGAAGGTTGCCGATCCCTGCCCTATCCCCTTCTCTTCCCCATCCCATGCCCCTTCCTTCCCCACTGCCTCTGTCCCCCTGCCCTGCCTGCCCCACCATGGGCACTCACTGTTGTACAAGATGAAGGATGGCTCCCAGCACACAGAAGGGAGCTCAACCAGCACTAGGACCCAGAAGGTGGTGTCCAGCTGCAAAGTCCGGGGAGCTGAGCAGCACCTTCTTTTTTCAGCCTGGCTGTGCAGCGCTGCAGTCACAGAGTAGGTACTCTTGTTCCACCCTCCTCCCCAAGTCCCCACCCCGCCTCTTCTCTGCCTCCTCTCCCCAGGTGAGCATGCTGCAGCTGTGCTCATCCCCCACCCTCCTGCCGGCAAACAGCTGATCAGCAGGGAAGGGGAGGGCGGGAAGGGAGTAAGCTGTGAGAAGAGGCAGGGGAGCAGGAGCGGGAGCTTGGCTGCCCTACTGCAGCAGGAGCCTCAGTGCCAGGAGTACCAAGCTTCTGCCCCCCGCAGGAGAGAGCGGGGGCGGAGAAGAGTGGGCTTGGTCGGGGCCTCCCTGGAGTGTGGGCCTGGCTCCATGGTAAATCCGCTACTGCAGAGAACTTGTGAGTAGGACAAAGCCTCCTTTCAGCTGCAGCCGTCTTGGCAGAAAGAGGACGTAAGAACTCTCTCTCTCTCTCTCTTTCTGTAGCTCAGAAAGACTGAGAACAGAGAGACTTTTGTTTTGGACTTTTAAGATTTGGGAGTTCTGAATCATAGTCCTGAGGTAAGGGCCTTTAAATAGATTTCCAACTGCTCCTTCATGGAGCTTAATTAAAAGGGAGACATGCTTATGTTAATTAGTGTGCTTGGTTTCTCATTGCCCTGATCTGAGTAAGCACACTTGTTGACACCCAGGTAGGATAATGTAGGGTGAGGTGTACCTGCAGTACCACATCTGGCCATGAGGGAGGGCATAGGGTGGCCCACCCCTGTACATGAAAAGTGTCCATTAATGAATGAATATCAATAACATAAAAAAGTACACAAACACAAATGAACAAGTAAGAGGAAAAAATAAGACTTTCTTGAAGCTCTGTGAAATTTAAAGTTTTCAATTTGCATCCTATAGAAGTTTCCTTTTGAGTTAAAAGAGAACCAACCTAGGCTGAAACCACTAAATTTCAGCAGGTCAGAAATACACATTAGATTACTCGCTGTTTTTTTTTATTGAAAACCTAAAACAGGTAACATCCATCCCTACCCATCCACCATGCCCAGATTCCTGTCTTCTTTGGATGTCTTCCAAAATTGTTCCTCACCTCCATTGTTCCTGCAAAGGGGGACAACTGGCCTGCTGCCCTATTTGTGTCTTCACATGAGCAGAATAAGTTAGATCTGCTTCCCAATATACACCTGGAAACCTTTGGGAGAATGTAAAAAGCAACAGAGAGTCCTGTGGCACCTTTAAGACTAACTGATAGGTGCCACAGGACTCTCTGTTGCTTTTTACAGATCCAGACTAACACGGCTACCCCTATGATACTTTGGGAGAATGGGCAGTCTGTGTGGACCCTCTGTTCAGCAGCACATCAGGAGAGGGACTCAAGATGGGATGAAATGCCCCAGTCTACACCACATGGAAGAAAAATCCAAAGCTTCTGTCTGAACCTTAGCCCAGAAAAGTATGAATTGCTCCTGTTCATCTCCAGGAGATGTTGACCCTAATGATGATGTTGTAAATCTCAATGTTAACTATTTAACTGCTGATCAAAGCATAAGCAAAAAAAGATCTACACATTCTACTGGAAATGACATCTCTTTTTGGCATCATGAATGATTGAAGCTTGAGTTATAAACAGTTCCTGTAGGTGTACCACCATAATGAGATCCAATGACTGGAACAAGAAGCAAGAGAGGGTGCAACTTTTTAACAGTGAGGGTAATTAATCATTGGAACAATTTATCTAGGGATGCAGTGAATTCTCCATCACTCAGAGACTTTATATCAAAACTGGATATCTTTCTAAAACATAGCTCAAACAGAAGTTATGGTCTTGATGTAGCAATTACTGGATAAGGTTCTGTGGCCTGTATTATGCAGGAAGTCAGACAAGATGATCATTATAGTCTTTGTCCTACATTCTATAAATGTACTTTGCTACATGCTGCACACACACCCACCCCTGTGCTGCTCCCACAGGTTTGTCTGTCGGCTTGGAGCACTGAATAATAGAATAAACAAAGAACATTTACACGGATGTGATTCCAGTGATCAGGTGTCATGTCCCTGTTGCTGTGACGTTAAATTCGCAGCTGTTCTTTGTAACCCTTCACAAATTCTCAGGGTAGAAAAAAGGACAAATATGTACTAAAGCCGGCAAGCCGCTGATTTGCGGATTAAGCAAATATGGTGAAGCAGCATGTGCCTGTCAATGAAAAACTGGGAGGGAACAGTAGTATCAGCAGCGTCTCCCGTGCGGCTAATGATTGGGTTTAGGGTGGGCTGAGCATATTCACTAATAACATCTGAAGCTGCTGCCTTAAATCTGCTGTCCGTTGCGGTCAGGATCTTTTTCTTGTGCAAAACCGGGATAGATAGAGGGACGCTGGTACTCTGGTAAAGCTACATTGGGTTGCGCTATCCGGGACCCCTCGCTATGGGCAGCCAGGAAGCAGAGACTCAGGAGACTTTGCAAACCCCAGGTGGGAGTAGTAGAGTTTTTCTTTCAGATCCTGCTCTCTTTAACCTTTTGGGTTGCGGATGTCTTCCCTCCTACTTCCCCCCTCCCCCCCAGGAAATTGGGTGACTACTTCACCCAAGCATTGTCTGAACGCTTCTGAAACCCCGGCTGACTTCTTTTGTTTAGATTAGTGGTTTGCGTTTGCTCAAGGTGGGACCTGATTTTTCTGACTAACTGCAACTTTGGGGGCAGAGGACCAGTTTTGTCTGCACTTTTTTTCCCTTTTGTTATTTTTGTAACTAAGCTCTGCCCATCAGAAGAACTTAGAACTACACTAAAATCACTCTCTGGCACTTCTCGCCTTTCATGTTTACATCTCTCACTGTTGAAATTGATCCATTTCATCGTCTATTCTGGGGTAATGTGTTCAATTGGCTTTTTGTCTTTATGTGAAGTCTAGCTGACGCTCAGCAGGAGCTTTTTGTCTGTTTATAAAGGCTATGAAGGGATGAACTTGAAAGTTTCTTGCTGGCTATTTAAAAACTCTGACCCTAATTGCGACCCTAGCTAAATAATGGAAAGCCTTGCTAGTGGAGCCTGAAGCCAGACCTGTTAAATAACTATCTTACTGCACCTTGGAAAAAGAGCAAAAGGGTATATTTGATTTTCTGGGAACTCTCTTCTGGCCTCAACCTCATTCTGGAGTGCAAAATATCAGGAACACTTAAAATATACACCTGGAGGAGTGGAGAGAAAGAAGGCAAGTAAATTTAAATACTATCTATTGCAAACGTTCCCTGAAAGAAACAAAGAGCTGGTAGATGACCTACACCTGTATCTTGAATGTTTCTTACATCTTTATTTGTAAGCTGATAGTTTCTGGGTCTCTGGGCTGTAAAACAAAGTATATGTGAGGGATGAGGTGCAGACTTTTTATAGCACATTAATACTGTGTAGATAAAACACTGCAACTTTATATGCTAGATGTCTGATCAGGCAGCCACTACTTAGGTGGACAGTTCTCACTCCCACAAGTAATCCAATTCACTTCTGTGGAGCTATGTGTGAGTCGCAGTGGCAGATTCTTTTGTCATTGATGCTGCAAGCTGCTCACTGTGGAAAGACACTGGGAAACTCTCAGAAGTCAAAGGGACTCTCGGTGCAAGAGGCTATACAGATAGGGTTGTGGGGAGGGCTTCACTTAGGTTATGTCTACACTGCACTTTCCTCATTAAAACTTTTATCTCTCAGAGGGGGAAAAAACCTTGTTGGGGGGTGGTTTTATTTTCTCAAGAAGAGCGGCTACACTGCTTACCTTACAGCAGCACCAAGGCTTGTAAGCTGTGCAGTGTAGACATAGCCTTGTAAAATGGTGCAGTAATAAATTCATAAAATGGCGGGTTTTATTACTTTTAATGGCAGAACATCAATTACCTTTTCCTGAACCATAGGTTTAGGTTACTAATTCCGAATTCCTGGAGGGCACATCATTTGTAAACAGACAGCTTGAAGTTGTGCCTAATACAAATATTTTTAGTTCTAGAAAATGGCAGACCAGAAGTTCCCAGTGAAGAGTCAAGCAGATTTACCAGAGATCAGCTCTTCACAATGGCAGCAACAGCTTGTTTAAACTTCAGTTCAATGATTTGCTATTCAATCCTGGGGCCCTTTTTTCCAAGAGAGGTAAATCAATGTACAGCTCTGCAGACGATTATTCAAATTACCTGTGTATTTTGTAGAACCTTTTAAAAAAAAATCAGAAATAACTTTATAAAAAATGTAATCAGATCATTTCTATTGCAGCATCACCCTTAGAGGCTACATGTGAGCTCAGGCCCCTATTGTGCCAGGCAGTGTAAGAGACAGTTCCTGTCCCAAAACACTTGCAGCCTATTTTAGATGAGGCAGACAAACTGTAGAGAGAGGTGAAGTGATTTGCCCAAGGTCTTGTAGCTGGTCAGCAGGAAAACCAGGAATAAAACCCAGGTCTCTTGACTCCATTCCAATGCCTTATCTTCTGGATCACTCTCTTTCCTCCCCTCCCCCATCCACTTATGACTTCCCCCTCAGTCTTTCACAGGTTAAAGTTTGCCAGGCTGGCAGATAGGAAAACCACCTTTACTGTCATATTAAATTGAGCAAACTTGATGTGCAAGTTGAGAAAAATAAATAAATGTATGTAGAGCCCAATGAAACTTCAGAGTAATCACTTTAGAGCAAATCCATTGCTCAGAGAGAGAGGGGCAGGCCCTGGTCAGTTGGCCAGATCATCCCCAACTGGGGCAATGCCTACAAGAGAGGGCTAAGGGTTTTTTTCCTGGAACATTCCGGTGTTCTACCCACCTGCTGCATGGAGTGATCTTCAAAGCTTGCCCCCAGATGCTGCATAGTCACCAGGATCTGTGAGAGGCCAGTGCTCTCTGTGCAGAGGCCTTGTACCTCTATTCCAGTGCTGGAGTCACCGTGATTCTCTTTCCCTCTGGCTGTGTAGCTCCAGTGGAAAGGAAAAGTAAAGTGACCGAACATATTACCTCTTCCCAGGTAATTTCTATAAGGCCAGAGGGGAGATGTTGTCATCTTCCCCCTGCCCAGTTCACACCTCATCCTTTGCATGGATCCCAAATTTGCAGGGTGTCCTCTGTGGCATCCTGGGGCATGGGGGTAGGGGAACCATGCTGTGGAGACAGCAGATTCCTTCATTTGCCCCTTTCTTGCAGGGGGGATGAGGTCTCTGCACACCAGGTTCCACCTCTGTATGGACTTAGGGAATGCGTTCTGTCCCTGGGTAAGGTCCTACTATCTGACCTGTAGTGCAACACAGCAACTTAGAATTTCCATCCTTCACACCTGCTTCCACTTGGAATAGATGCTGCTTCTGCTCCCGACTACAGAAATACTGAATTGTGGTGCCAGGTGATTTTAAATTGCTGTAGAGTTACTGCTGAATCTCCCACTCCTTTATGACTGTACTGGCAGGTACAATGAAAGAAGGGTAAAGATGTAAGACTTGAATAAAAGTATTTTACCTAATGCTATCATTTTCCTTTGTGTACTGAGGGGTTTTTTTTGTCCATATTCTAAGTCTGGCTGTCATGGTGTTTCCTTTTACAGGCAGAGAAAAAGGGTGCCAGTGATACGGTTATTGGACTGATTTTTGGATGCTTTGCTTTATCTAATTTCTTGACTTCTTTAATATTAGGCAATTATGTAAGTATGTTTACAGTTTTCAGTACTGACTTAATTATGGAATAGGACCTAACAACCTTACGCAGAGCGTGGTCCAGTTAAACCAATTTGACTGCTGACATATATGTTTGCTCTTTTAAGCAAGTGAAAAGATACATTAAAATAATAATGTCCATACTGGGTCAGACCAAAGGTCCATCTAGCCCAGTATCCTGTCTTCCAACAGTGGTCAATGCCAGGTGCTTCAGAGGGAATGAACAGAACAGGTAATCATCAAGTGATCCATCTGGTGTTTAGTGGTCAGGAAAAACTAATTATGTGCACTCTGAGACTCACTCCATACTCCAGTAAATGTATTTATGTTGTCTTCCTATCTTCCAACTGCTTTTACAGACATCCATGCTCTTCCTTTAATGAAGAGCCAGGACACCTGTAAATTCAGCTAGAAACAAGGAAGATGTTCAGCAGAATGAGACTAAGTTGCTCTGCTGACCATCAGCAATTACTCTACAGATCACACTAGAGAAGCTGCTGTTTTTTTTAAAAGAAGGCAGGTTTCCCTCTGACTGCACATTCAGCCAGCTGGGTTAGGAGCAATAGTCTGTGTGCTGTTTTTACAGAACTGGGTTCTCAGAAGCAGACCTCCTGGGAGAAGAGGTCAAAACTAGGGCTGTCAAGTGATTAAAAAAATTAATCGTGATTAATAGCACAATTAATCACACTATTAAACAACAATAGAATACCATTTAAATATTTTTGGATGTTTTCTACATTTTCAAGTATATTGATTTCAATTACAACACAGAATACCAAGTGTACAGTGCTCACTTTATATTTTGGATTACAAGTATTTGCACTGTAAAAATCAAATCGTATTTTTCAATTCCCCTAATACAAGTACTATAGTGCAATTTCTTTATCACAAAAGTTGAACTTACAAATGTAGAATTATGTACAAAAAAATGCATGCAAAAACAAAACAATGTAAAATTTTAGAGCTTGCAAGTCCACTCAGTCCACCTTCTTGTTCAGCCAATCGCTCAGACAAACAAGTTTGTTTACATTTGTAAATAAGAAGAGGGCAGCATTATCTCCTGCAATGTCACCTGACAGAACAGGCGTTCTCACAGCACTGTTGTAGCCGGCGTCGCAAGATATTTATGTGCAAGATGCGCTAAAGATTGATATGTCCCTTTATGCTTCAACCACTATTCCAGGGGACATGTGTCCATGCTGATGATGGGTTCTGCTCGATAACCATCCAAAGCAGTGTGGTCCAACGCATGTTCATTTTCATTATCTGAGTCAGATGCCACCAGCAGAAGGTTAATTTCTTTTTTGGTGGTTCAGGTTCTGTAGTTTCCACATAAGAATGTTGCTCTTCTAAGACTTCTGTAAGCATGTGCCACACCTCATCCCTCTCAGATTTTGGAAGGCACTTCAGATTCTTAAACCTTGAGTCAAGTGCTGTAGCTACCTTTAGAAATCTCACATTGGTACCCTCACTGCAGATTTGACAAAACGTAAAGAAAGTGTTCTTAAAATGAACAAAATGTGCTGAGTCGTCACCCGAGACTGCTTTAACATTAAGTATGTGGCAGAAAACAGAGCAGGGGACATACAATCCTCCCTCAAGGAGTTCAATCACAAATATAATTAATGTAGTGCGTTTTTTGTGGGGTTTTTTTACAAGCGTCATCAGTATGGAAGCATGTCCTCTGGAATGGTGGCCGAAGCATGAAGGGGCATATGAATGTTTAGCATATCTGTCACGAAAATACCTTGTAATGCCAGCTACAAAAGTGCCATGCACATACCTGTTTTCACTTTCGGTGACCTTGTAAATAGGGCAGCATTATCTCCCATAAATGTAAACAAGCTTGTTTGTCTGAGCGATTGGCTGAACAAGAAGTGGGACTGAGTGGACTTTTTTGTTTTTGAGTGCAGTTATGTAACAAAAAAATCTACATTTGTAAGTTGCACTTTCATGACAGATCACAGTACAGTACTTGTATGAGGTGACTTGAAAAATACTATTTCTTTATCATTTTTACAGTGCAAATATTTGTAATAAATAATATACACTTTGATTTCAATTACAGTACAGAATACAACATATATGAAAAGATATATAAACATCCAAAATATTTAATACATTTCAATTGGTCTTCTATTGTTTAACAGTGCAATTAAAAGTGTGATTAATCGCCATTATTTTTTAATCTCAATTAATTTGAGTTAACTGCAGTTAGTGGACAGCTCTAGTCAAAACTGTGGCCAGAATATGCTGTAATCAACCTCTTTTTGGAGTATCTTCTTTTAATTTCAATTTTGCCTGTCTTTTCGTGACTAGTACTCAAAGATTTGAGAAACACCTTGTTGTTTTTTTTTTCAAAACTGACTTTTTTCCCCCTTGCTGCAGTGATTGCAGTCTGGCCAGCCAGTGGGCATGGAGCTAAACCATGCAAGAAAACATTTTAGAGCTGGAAAATGTCTTCTAGGTTCCTACCTTAAATATGGCTATCAAATATAGTTCTTAAGCTAGTGTACAGGCTGCCTTATGTCCCTAGCAACACTTTTTTGTTGTTGTTTGTTTTTGGTTTTTTGTTTTAGTGTGTTAAGAGTATATTGTCTTTTGCCCCCCCTTTTTTTGGGGGGGGGGAAGGGGGAATAGTACTTTTTCAATGAGAGTGGCATTAGACATCTGGTGTTTCCAATGGGAAGTCCCTTCAATTTACAAGAAAAAGAATAAAAGCCCTTACCGGTAAAAAGTGGCTGCCAATAATGGCCCGTACAGCTGACTTTTTAAAGCGGTGCCACAGCAAAGGACCCTGCTTAAAGTGCTGCCCCTTTTGCCCATGACAGAATGATCTTTTCCCTGAATAATTAGCCTTCCACAGATCCTGTGTTTACTGCCTTCTGGAGCTTACATGCCCTGAGCTGCATATCCTGTTGTCTTGGGTTAGCTGCTAGTATGTTAGATAGATGAGCAAATGGAAACAGCCATTTTAGTCAGCTCCCCATCTCCTACCTTAATAGCACCATTACTGCCTGCTATAGGCAATGCTGGATGTATGAGAGTCACTCTATCTAATCAATATAAGAATGCTGGTGCATTCTGCCACTGTACAGAGGCTACAGCAAATGGCAGTGAGAGAGTTAGCTCTACCAGTGACTTACCGTTGGGAAAAGTAGGTTAAGTCACTTAACCATTTAGAATATTTTTAGGTTTGGTTACAAGCTAAATGTGCGGGGGAGTCTGATTCTCTGCCTTTGTTCTGTCAATGACTTTTCTAGAGCGTGCCCACAGTGTTTTGATTTCATAACAAAACTCTCCAAATAAATTTCCTTGATTAAAATTGGACTGGAAGTAATTAAAATGTAACATTTATTCTTCACCAATTGCAGCTTGTACAAATTGGAGCCAAATTCATGTTTGTGGCTGGAATGTTTGTCTCAGGATGTGTTACAATTCTGTTTGGGTGAGTGTTTTCTTGTTTCTAGTGTGCAATTTGCATTGTGTTCTAATCATATGAAAAACAGATGGTCTTGCTGTTCAAACTCAGGGCTAGGGGTCAAAAGACCTCAGTTCTGTTTCTAACATTGGGACGATGACTTAACTTCTCTGTCTTAGTTTTCCTTCTCCGTAAAGTGGGAATAATACTTACCTAACTCCGGGGGCTACAAGGCATGTTTAGCACTCTGAGACCCTCGGCTGGAAGATGCCATAAATGCAATTTGCTATTTAGTTATTGGAAAAACCTCAAGTATGTATGGTAATAAGTACATACACAATCTACCTCACAAAATGGGATTTTTAATTGTTTTAAATCAATTTGGAAACTTTGCCTGGCAATTGTAGGGTCTAAGGCACCAATCTGTGCAACAGGTAGGCTTTATTTTTAAAAAGTGTCTATTTCACAATGCTGTGAAATCAAGTTCAGCTTTGTGGGGATGCTGCTTGGCAAAACTATGAGGAGCAACAGAGGAAGGCACTGGAGTTCTTCACAGGGGAGAAGGACGCTGTGCTTGGCCCTCTGCCCCCAAAGGGGGTGGAGGATGTTTCCCTCCCCTTCCCAGAAGCAGGTGGAAGATGATAGAACTCTCCTTTTCCCATTCAGGCACTAGGGATACGTCTACACTGCATTGTCAGCCTGGGTCTGTAGGATCTGAGACTGCAGACTCGATATCTTTTGCATCCACACTGCATAGTGAACCTAGGCTTACAATTTCTGGACCTGGGTCTTGCAATCATGCTGACACATCCATACTGTGCTACACTGATCCCAGTCAAACATTATTCTTGGGGCATATTCCAGGCTTCCTAGTGCAGCCTCTAGCTGTAGCCATTCTAGGCCTTGTTTCACTGTGTATTGTGGGAAAACTTGACTGTCCATCCTACGGCACTTGACTGGAAGTTGTCTCAGCCTGCCAACACATCCATCTGAGCCATCTTTGGGTCTACACCCTCCCAAGAACCAGAGCCACAAACATGGGTGAAGCACCGTTGGAAGAACTGGTCTAGCTTGCACTTTCCCTCCCATTTCAGGAAATGGTAGAGTGTCCATGAGACACTGGTGGATATTTCGATAGGGTGTGTGTTTGTTTTGTGTGGTGGGTTTTTTTGGGGGGGAGGGAGGGGGGTCCTACTGGAGGCACCTCCCAGAGGGGAATACAGATGTAGCAAAGTCCAGCTGGTGGGTGCTGGTAATGATTCTTGCTATAGCTGCAAATTTTCCCCATATGTTGACTGGTGCTTCTGGAGCAGGGCCATGAGAACAGACTAATGGGATCAGATCATGTGGACTTGGGATGCCCAGCAGTGTCTCCAGAACTTTCACATGAAGAAGCAGATGTTTCTGGAGCTTTGTCAGCAGCTTGCCCTGACACTTCAGCATCAGGACACATGTGAGGGAGCCAGGCTGGTCCAGAGCAAGGTTGCTCTAGTCATCTGAAAGAAGTTCTATCCCTGACTGCTACAGATCCATGGCTAACCAGTTTGGTGTTGGCAACTCAATGGTAGGAGCTGTGCTGGTGGATGTTTGTGTGGCAATTGGAACTGAGATTTATCCAAAGGTTAATGGGCATAAACAAAGTCCCTGAAATAATTTTGAGAGAATGGACTTTCCAAACTGCACTGGGGCATGGATGGGACTCGTGTCCTTAGTTTGCTCTCCTCAAGGAGCACATGAGTGCATAAACGACAAGTGGTACAACTTGATCATTATGGAAGCCCTGGTTGACCACAGAGGCTAATTCATGGATGCCAATGTGGGCTGTTCTAGCAAAGTGCATGGTTCCAAGGTTTTCTGCAGAACAGGACTTTACCTTAATGGACAGGCTGGGACACTATTCCCACCGAATGAGATGGTCATAAATAGAGTAACTGTCCTCACTGTTGTTCTAGGGAACTCGATGTATCCCTTATGGCTTTTGAAACAGTACCCTGATCTCAGAAGGCCTGGCAAAAGAAGGTTAATTACACCTTCAGTAGCTGTAGAATGGTGGTTCAGTGTGCGTTTGGCAGATTGAAATCCTGCTATGGCTGTTTACTGGATCATTTGGATGCTAGTGTTATGCTGTCCACGTTACTGTGGCTTGCTGTGCTCTTCACAATGTCTGCGAGGTGAGCCATTTCTTCAGGTGTGCACTCAGGCTTTTACTGGATTGCTAGACCAGTACACCTATCATAATGGAATCAGGATCCACATGCACCATGGAAATCAGGGATGCTTTGTGCAGCCACAATGTGGGCTTGCCTCGCCCCATGGATGAGGGGAATAGTAAGTATGTGAATATATGCAAATAGTAATGTGAAATATCATCTGTGGTGGGATGGATCCCATTCACACTTCCATTACCTCTGGGGGATTCTTAATGAATTTAAATGTATGGATGCAATGGAATATATGGTGTTCTTTACTGTATAAAATGGGCATGTGCTTCAGCCCACTGTTTTTTTGGATTGCTGTTATGTAGTTCAGCTTTAGTGAAGGTAATAAACAGCTGTCATGACGCCACATCTTTGTGCAAACAAAACACTTTAATACTAGACATGGTTTTAATAAAAACAGACAATATTAAACTACTAGCCAGCCCAGCTGCCATCAAACTCCCAATACCGGGGGAGGAATTGCAAAAAACCATGAATGGTGCTCATTAAATCACTGTCAAAAAAGTGAACAATTGTGACACAGACTCATTGGTGGCTCACTGCTTTGTGTCAGTGTCTCTTATCAGACCTGTCCAAGTCACTACACCTTACAGGTTGCTGTCATAGTATTTGTCTTTAAAGAAGATTGTGTGAGATGTCAAATAACAGTGTATACCGTACTGGTCATTCTAAGCATTGTGAGATGCATCTGCAGGTATTATTCTCAAGAAGTTGTATGTACATACATATTTTAAACATTTTTAGTAACTATTATGTTTAAAATGTTACTAGGCAGGATTGATAAACTAGTTTCTCCCAGATAAAGGAATATTGACTTACTGGTGTACCTACATATCTGATGTAAAATTAAGCACTGTGAAAGCCAAAACACAATGGGAACTACATCTGCATGTAAGTCACCAGGAAAAGCCAGGTTGATTTTTTTTTTTTTTTTTTTTTTGGGGGGGGGGGAGGTGAGAGATGTCGGAGACTTAAAACATGGAAGGTTGTCTTGTGTCCGGGATGAAAACAATGAGTTTTGGGGAAATATAAGGAGAAATAAAACAATATTTTTGTCCATCACTGAGGGAGCAAAATGGACAGTTCCTTTTAGAAAGTTGGATCCTGGCCCTGGGGCTGGTGATGCTGACAGGTTTCTACAGGCAAGAAACTTAGCTTAGGTAAAGCTTTCCACCTGCTAAAAGTTATTATTAGTCCTTTGAGAAGTGTTATACTTCTGTTTTATTTGTAACCAATTCCCCTTTTACCATCTTAACCAGTTTCACTTAAATCTCTGTCTTTAATCAAAAAGCTTATTCTTGGGTTTATTATAAATTCATCTCAGTGCTTTTATACTTAGTAAAGTGTGAATCCTGAACTGAAAAACAGGCTGGTGAGTAGGCTCTCTTTGGAGACAGCCAACTTGGTAATTTCTGTGAGTGTCCAGTGACAGGGTCTGGATATTACACGGAATACTCTTCAAGGGAGCATGGGGATTAGCGTGTTAACCTGCAGGGTAAAGGAAAGGCTGGCAGAGCTTCTCAGGAGATTGATTGTTTGGGTGGCTAACAGACTGGCAAGACAGGGAGCTGGTACCAGTTTAGCACCACTAAGTCTCTTTCTCTCACTGAGACAGGTGGGTAACTAATTGACTCATAATCCTGTCCACGGCAAGAAAAAAACACTCCAGCTCTGTTTCACCAATTCTGAGTCCCTCCTATCCCAGTTCTTTAGCCTTTCTAGTGCATCATGTATGCACTGGCTGCTGCTGCATGGAACTGGAAGAATGAATGGGATACATGTGCCCATTCTAATTAGTGTTCATGCCATGGGGCATGTACCACCCGATCACAGAATGGCCCAAAGGGTTCTGGGGCTGCAGGATGTAGTCATAGAATATCAGGGTTGGAAGGGACCTCAGGAGGTCATCTAGTCCAACCCCCTGCTCAAAGCAGGACCAATTCCCAACTAAATCATCCCAGCCAGGGCTTTGTCAAGCCGAGCCTTAAAAACCTCCAAGGAAGGAGACTCTACCACCTCCCTAGGTAACGCGTTCCAGTGCTTCAGTCGAGTGGTGGGGCTCAGGGAGTGGGACTGGAGCAGGAGGTACAGAGGTAAGTGGGGCTGGAACCTTCAGTCTCACTGCCCTGAGCATAAGCAGCTTCTCTAACCTTTCTGCTGCACTTGAATTTTCTCCCTCAAGTGTTGCTTGGGCTCCAGAAATGATGCTGCCAATCTCCCCTAATGCGCTGCAGCCTCTCTTTGTCTGTCAGCCTGCCATACATCTTCCTCTCATTGGTATTGCTGTTGATGACTGGTTTTATCCAGGATGTCCACTATTAATTCTTCTTGCCTGCTTCCTCTTTGACCGCTGTAGCAGCATATGGCCCTCCCTCCCTGCCCCCCAAAAGGTCCTGCGTGACTGACTGCCCTGCAAAGGTGAAAGGGTTGGCAAGACAAATGAAAGAACACATTATTGTCTGAGTATTTCACAAAGAAGTTTGATTTCATCCGTAGTGAAAGTCAAGGTCAAAAATGGTACTTTGGGTTTTATTCTGAGAAAAAGAAGTTGGTTTTCAGACATTGTTGGGAATTGAGCAGAAAGCAATCATGTTATGATAAGGTCTGATTTACAAAATCAATTTAATTATTTCTAAAATTCTAGTCCATTTTTCACTTGTGGTAGAAGAAGGGGGACCACTTGCCATGGTTTACTACCTATGGTTTTAGAATCCTTTTAGACTTAGTGCCTGACCGGCACATCTATGAGTGGAAGGGGCTAGTGACCTACAGAGGAGGCCCTAATGAGCATGCCCTGCACTGAAATGTGAACACCCGTTTGGAGTTTATGCTCCAGGAAAAGCTTGCAGTTATCATCAACTGGGATTGTATGGAAAACTTGTGGGGAAATCAACAGGATGCTGAGTTCACTTGCAGATATAGAGAAGCCTCCCTGAAAGCTTCATGCAGTGACCGCAGTGCAGCTCAGGCATACAATACATCCCCCATGGTTACACACAGACACCCCAGGTCAATTCGGACTCCTTATATGGCACACATGGACTATTCTTGTACACACACCAAGGACAGCCTGGACTCCTCATAGGACATCCATAGCCTAAATAACTTTTTAGCCCTCTCCCCCCATTTGGATCATAGCTCAGGAAAAGGGATTGAAAAGCACTCCCCCTCCTGGCATCTTTCTGGACTCATAATACAGGACTCCTGGAGTAAATACAACCCAGGTGCATTTTGGACAGTTAGTATGGCACCCGGGGAATATATATATTTTCTTCTTCTTCTTCTTCTCTTCCCCTCCCCCCCATATCTCCATTATAGTTTAGAGTAATTGGACAGGCAGCTTGGCATGGTCCAGTAGTGCCGATTTGTATGGCATTGTGTACTATTAGTAAAAGGCTCTTTATCTCCATAATGCATCTTTGGGACAAGGGTGTGTGTGAATATTTAGTAAAAATTTCATCATAACTGATTAACTTTTTGTTTTGAATTCCATGGGGCGGCTGGGAATGGGGGTAGCACTAGGGGCCTGGAATGTGTTCCACCTTTAGCGGATACATGCTGCTATCCCTGATAATAATTTCATTGGGGCATAAGCCAAAATTGACTCTTCCATATATTAACAAAAATGTTCTGCCACCATGTTTACCAGGTTCTGACGCTTCCAGTTCTGCTGTGGGCTGCTCCTTGGGGCATCTTCAAACAGCTCCTCTCAGCATGGACTCAGGATGTGCTGTAGCAATTCACTATGCAGAACCTCCGCAGGGACTGGCATGAGTAGCAGAATCCTTCCTGTGCTTGATCTGGTGGCAGCTGGCTCTGCTCTGTGTTGCCTGTGACTTAAGGCTTACAAGGGTGCCATCCCTGCTCAGCACATTGTCACGCACCACCATAGGCTCAGTGAGAAGCTCAGTTCCCATTACCCCCATCAAATTCCTCCTAGAAGAGGCAGGTAGGCAGAGAGTTCCCAGAGGTGTGGTTGTTTATCCCTGACTTTGCGGTAGTTGGTCTAGAGTCACTTCGTTCACTCTGAGCATTGATCAGCTGAGTGGTGGATCCCCAATGCTGCAAGCTTCTCCAACGTTTCCTGGTACACATGGTCATTTCTGGTACTCTTGCTGAAGTCTGATAGCTTGCTTGTCTTGCATCAGAGATTAACCAGAATCTGGCTGATTTCCCAAGGCTGGCTAGTAGCTATGGCCAGCCACAAGAAGTCATCCTATAGCAAGTGTGCTAACACAGGAGATGGTTAACTGTATTCCCAGTTCAGAGGCCAGCATGGGAAGGAAGGGTTGCTTCCAGTTCCTGGGAATCAAGTGGGTAGTTCTGAGCTAAAAGGGCCAAGAAACACTGGCCCAGAGGATTGGGGAACAATGTTGACAAGCTGTCCAGACATGACTCTGGGAAGCCAGGGTTGAGCGGCATCCACCCCGCAAAAAGACAGCTGGAACCCAAATCCCAGAAGGATTCAGGCTCAGACCCTCCCCTCCCCCACACCCTTTTCCACCTATGTCCTAGGACCTGGGTCTGAGAGCTTATTGACCCAAGTCAGAATATTTGTGTGTGGATGCTAAGGAAGGTCTGGGCTCAAACCTGAGTCTTAGCATGGGTTTACAATGCAGTGTAGACATACCCTAGAGATACTGGAGCTTCTTATATATCAAATACATGCAAAAGCTGGAGCACCCAAGCAGGTCCTGGGACAGCTCCTTCCACAGCACCTGAGAGTGAAAGTGGAACTGAGCTTCTCATCAGGACACTGTCCCTGGACTCTGATGGAGGGCGGAGAGCCTGCATTGGCTGCTAGGTGTCTAAACTTTTCAAACTCTTTCTTTATGTGATAGGCAGGTAAGAGTTATTCCCCATTTGACAAAGGGCAAGTGACTTGCCCTGTGCTTTGACCACTAGACCATATTGTTTAAAATTATCATTTTGGTTTGGTTTGTTTCATTTTTGTTTTGTTTCCTTGTTCTTTCAGTATGTTGGATAGAGCACCTGATGGACCAGTATTCATTGGTTTGTGTTTTCTGGTTAGAGCGATGGATGCCATAGGCTTTGCTGCAGCAGTGACAGCTTCATTTTCTATTCTTGCAAAGGCTTTTCCCAATAATATAGCTACAGTAATGGTATGTACAGAACTACACATTATAGCCAAATGTCCAGAATAAAAGTTTTAACAACTCTCATATCTTTATGCATTTTTGTGTACCAGACAGCCACTGTAACCCTACAGCTCATGTCAGGTGTCTAATATAAGCTCCTCCAATTTAAAAAGCCTGACAAAAATCTCTAATTTGAATTAAAAATTATATATGCCTGGATTGAATAAATATGATTCAGGTGCAACAAAAGTTATGCAGGTCCTGGAACAATGGAAGGAATAAAGATGTAAAACTGAGCTCATTCAGTAACACATACAGGACTGTTAAAATAATAAAAACCTTGATGTCTTTCTGAGGATTAGTTGAGGAGGGATTTTTTTTAAATTATATTCTTGTTGTGATCCGTTTACTGGCCTTGTTTGAAACATGGGTAGGATACTGACAGACGACGTACAACTTGAAAGCATTTTAAAAATGCAGCCACTTAATCTAGTCTTCATGGAAACTGAATTCTGTATGACATAACACAACAAAGGGAAATGTCTTGGCTTATCATATAGCTTTCTGCTTAAGGATCAATCCGCTTTAACCAGGCGCTTCAACGAGGAGTTAAACCATTACATCTGGGATTTTTTTTATTCTAAGGTTCCTCCATGCTAGTGGGGACTGTTGCAAAGTGCCCTATGCTGTTGTGTCTAGCTGCATTGGTGATGGCTTCACTAGGAGTAGACACAAGGGAGGGCATGCTGACCCAACTTTGCATGATACTAATGCTGTGCCCTTGCTTTAAAAACAGCAAGCCAGTAGCAAGGGGAGGAGGGATCTAAGAAGTGGATATGGCTGGAGACTTGGAGAAGGAATTGGTGCTGCTGTTCAATTAGATAGAAGTAATCATAATTTTTTGTGGGGGGTGGAGTGCGTGTGGGAGAACTAAATAAAAGTTTACTTTAAATCTTAAACCCTCCATCTCCTTATACCAGGCTCCAGTTCACAAAGGTACTTTAAAGGTGGACTTGCTGAACTGGGGCCTCTGTCACCTGTCAGTCTTGTTTCTTCATGAGAGATAACACTGAAGGGCAGACATATCTCTGAAATCTGTGAAAATAACTAGTCATAGTTTGCTGTTAACACAGCAAAAATCTCAGAAGTAGACTACCACACAGACACTACAGCATTGACATAAAAAACAAAAACTGCCCTGCCCTCCCCCCCCCAGCAAATTAACTCAAAGGAGACCGAGTAGAGACACAAGTCTGATATACATTTAAGTTTTACCCATATTTTAATTATGGGTGGCATTTTTTAACCAAAATAGTTATACTGGCAAAAGCCTTTGTGTAAACAGTAATACAGTATAAAGGTGATTTCTATCAGTGTAGTTTTTCTCCTTCCTGTATAGGAATAATGATGCTGGTGAAAGCACTACCCATATAGTGCAAGCAGTACATCTTTCTAGGGTAAACATGCCCTTATGTGAGCTTTCTTGTCACTGTTCTATTATTTCCCAGTGGATATTATGGCTAACTACTTTTTCCTGAAGACAGAGAGAGAGGGGAAAAAAATTTTTAGTCTAAGTATAGGTTGATCCAACGATGTAACTGAAGGGTAGTCAATTATTTTTGTCAAAGTCCATTTTTTTTTTTTTTTTGTTCACGGTATAGTCATGGTCCAGACTCCAGAGAAGAAAATAAATAATAAAAATATGATAGATAAATAGATTTTTGGGGTCCATTCAAAAGCATCTGATGGTCTGGGTTTGGCCTGCGGTCCACCTATTGACTACTCCTGATGGGGACTAATAGTATTGTAAGAGGAGACTAAGTCCACATAGGTCCCCTTCATCCTATTTTTTGAGGTAGCCTCTGATAAATGAAACCAAACTTAGTGGGTCAAACATACCCATTTTGTGACTTGATGGACTTCATTAGATAGATGCAGGGGCTGAACTTGACCAATTGTATATAGGTAGAAAAGTGCTTCAACTTAAGGCATTTTTCACCCAAGCCCCAAAGAAGTGACTTGATGATGATCATCTGCAATATGTTTACAAAATTACATTCAAACCTGAAGGGGAGAACTTAGTATTTGGGAAATGTAGTCACTTCATTGCTGGCCTCTCTGCAGATGTACTGGGTATATGGAACAGCAATGGAGGTGTTTTGCCCCAGAAATTAGGTATGTTAGGCAGTACTTGAGTAGCTAATACCAAAATATAAGAACTATACTTGGTCCTGTCCTATCTTTGCTGAAATAAGAGGATCAAATTGCTTTTACCTAGACAACTTTCCAGACTCCGCTGTCCTTGCATGTGAAAGTGGTTGTTGATGGGTCTGATTTGTTCTAGCTCTTGATCAATGACCGAGCCTCGCTTCTATCTAACCAACCTCCTCACACTGGATGCTCCTCATAGGAAGTGGTTTGTCTCCAGACTGTTGCTGAAGAATTCGGATGCACCCAAAAATTGATGTTTGTTCTCTCTCTCCTCTTTAGGGTAGTCTTGAAACATTTACAGGGCTTGGACTGGTGCTGGGCCCACCTATAGGTGGCTTTTTGTATCAGTCCTTTGGCTATGAAGTCCCTTTCATAGTACTAGGATGCATAGTGCTGATCCTGGTGCCTCTGAACATGTACCTCTTACCAAAATACGGTAGGCTCTTTTTCTTCCACTTCCTTTAATTAATATTTCAAATTTGAGATGGATGGATAAATACATACTCCAGTAAAATATTTTAATTCTTCATGTGTGTAACTATCTGTATGAGATTCCGGAGCTGGATCAGGCATAAGAAATCTTATGGCAAAATTGCAATTGATTTTAATGTTGCAGGATCAGGTCCTTGTTCAACATAACTAAAAATCATGGATGCACATGGCTTGGAATGAAGCAAATATCTTCTGTCCATCCCTGTAAATGCTAGCTTCCTCTGTTGCATTGAAATGCAGTGAGACTTTTCTACATGTGTCTTAGCTTTGGGACTGGAAATGATCAGTTGTCTTTTCTTAGTAGCATTTTGAGGCTAGTTGGAGTCTTACAGTACCAAGGACAAAGGGATTCCTAAGTATTGCATTCCACACAGTGCAAGATATAATTAACACATGGAAGAGAATCCAGCTGCATGCAATATTTTTGAACTCTGATGCATTTTGGGGAGAAAAGGTAGCTAGAAAGTAACTGTCCATATAATATGAACAGCCTAATGTTAGAAGGTAATCATCACCAGATTGCTGGAGGATAAAACTAATGGAACAGTTCAGATGTGATAACTTCGGAGGATAAGAACTGCATGGCTAAATATTTGAAGCTTTATAGAAAGCCCACAAGGGAGGGGATGGTAAAGATAAAAAAATCACAGGAGAGGAAGCACCGCATATATAATAAGTGTGTATTCTGCTTGCTACCACTACATGGGATGTGCTGGTTAACCATTTGTCTGTCTTCGAAAGATGTTTATAGCTTGGATATATGCATTATGCAGGTTTGGAATTCTGCTATGTGGAAATCATTCTACAATAGTCCTAGGTTTTGATCTTGTAGATAACTCATATCAGTAGCAGTCTCATTGTACACACACTGAGATTGTGCACATATTGAAGTGTGTTCAGGAACGAGGCAATGGAACATAACTTAAAAATGAAAAGACATCACAATGGCATTTGAAATGTGTCTTGTCTAGAGTGCATATCCAAGGTGCAGGAAGCCTGATCAGGTAACTGCATGCATATGCTAATTGTCAGTTGTCAAATCAAATCAAAACAATCTTTTTTGTTTTTGGTAGCACGTGTCTGAACTAGGAATACCATGAAAAGGGAGAACTTCCACATGTGGTTTTATGATGCACAATGTGTTAACTTTTTCTGGCCGTTAAAAGAAAATAATTATTAGATTATCTAGTTTGATCTTATGTAATGGCAGATGGTGTACTGTAGAGAGATGGCTGTATTTCATATTTTTGCCTATTCACTTAATAGGCAATAGCCCAATTACTTTAATCTAAGATGAAAGCATTAAGTAGGAAAATTTTAAGTTCTGTTTTCTTCATTTTTTCCTCTGTTCATTTGTCTAGCTTCCAATTTTGGAGGCTTTAAAAAAAAAAAAAATCTGATCTTATAACAATGTCCAACCATGAGTAACATTCTAAATTTTGCTTCAATTTGTTTGAGATTCCCACTGCTTTGAAGATGGTTGTGGGAGAATACTGAATCTTGGAAGTAAGAGTAGGTTATGAGCATATCAAATTAAACACAATCCATGCTACCAAAAGAACACAGTTTCTTTTCTTCTCTTAAAACAGATGCAATCGCTACCAAGGAATCCTTCTGGATGCTCATTACTCTGCCAAAAGTTGTATTTCTCTGTTTTACTAGATTTTCACTAAGTGCGTGTTTAGGCTTTCTGGATCCCACTATGTCACTGTTTGTTTCAGAGAAGGTGAGTCATCTTAATGTACAAGAGATGGGTTAATGACTTCAGCAATATGGAGTACTTTAATCCAAATATTTTAAAATTATTGTCCTAATAAATTCTATTTTATCAAATGTGCTTGTCCATTGGCATTAGCCGAGCTTACTACTGTGTTGCTGACTTGCCATTCAGAGTAATTTGATTTCCGCAGTGCTGGGCACCAGCAGCTCCTATTAACTTCATTTGGAATTATGGGTACTCAACAGCTATGAAAAGCCATCCCTTGCTCTCTTTTAAATATGTTTTTCCCCTCCATTTTCCAGTTGCATAAGATCCTTCCCTAAGGTATTCAAACGGTGACTGCAACTCTCCCTTTCATGCACCCCGTCTATCAGATAAAATGAGTAAGTGCTTTGTCTGTGGGATAATCGTCACCGTGACAGAACATTGTCCTAAGCAAAAGCATCTTATTTCGGGGTTAAGCTGTTTTGGCTCCACCTCTGCTTGTAACAACACAAAACACTTAAACTGTTTCAACAGTCTAGTCTGAAGACACTATCTTGGCCTTGTCACTTATCTATTAAGATGGCTGAGTGACACTTATTTGTATGCTTGCATGACATGCTGAAATAAAGTGCATGCTAACAAAATCATTAGGTATGTATTAATGTTGTCATTGTGTTTCCCCATCAGGGAACTTGAAAACCAAGCTTAATTGCACCTTTGCCAAGTGCCAATTTTTTCCTGATTCTTACCTACTTACTGTCTCTGGATAAGTATGAACAGATAATGCATGTGTGAATGGCAGGAGGGTTCATGTTCATGTGATTGGGTAAGATGAGTATTTACAGACTTAGAGGTTTCAATGGAAATAGCTGCAATCTTGGAATATTTGAATTGATTGAGCTCTTCAAATCTAGAATTGTGAATTATTGATGCCATTGGCCTATAAAACTAGGGAAAGGCAAATGGCAAGTGAACAAAGCCTACTCTACAATATTCTAACTTCTCATTCTATTGTTTTTGCATCAGTGAGACCCCTTTCCTCTCCCTCCCATGCCCTGTTCTGAATCCCTCTTTATATCACAGAGACAAAGTGGGTGAGATCTTTTATGGGACCAACTTTTGTTTGGGGGTGGGGGGGAGAGAAGAGAAAGAAGCTTTTGAATTACACAAAGCTCTCCTCCAGGTCTGGGAAGGGTATTCAGAGTGTCATAGCTAAATACAAAGTGGAACAGGTTGTTTAGCATAAGAAGTTAATACATATTGTAAGGGACCGTTCAAGGTGAAGTGGCCCATTAACACCCCTGCAGTCATAGGACAAAAAAGTGGGGTTAGTGGGTTACAGATGGTTGTAATAAGCCATAAATCCAGTGTCCTTTATTAAGACCTTGATTGTAGTGTCTAGCAGCATTATGATTTTAAGCTCCAGGCTCATCTTTTGAAGGTGTTGTGCAGGTTACCTTTGAGGAGGAGGCCTGAGAGGTCAGATACAGAGTGATGGTTTTGTGAAAAGTGTTCACCCATATGTGATAAAGTGTTTTTGTCTTATCACTTTTCTGTGCAAGTTTATTTGACAGCATAGTGATTGTCTGGTTGTTGGGGCATTGAGTGCACTGGATGAGGCAAACCACACATTGCGATAGGCATGTGTAGGACCCCTGGATCTTGAAAGGTGTATATTGTTCCTTCTGTTGTTCTGGCAGGGTATGGTGCCATTTTGAGTTGGTGGGCCCTAGTCTGTGGGGAGCTTGCTTCTGATGAGGAGCTTAGTGAGGTTGTAGGGGAGGGGGTTGTTTCAAGGCCAGAAGAGAGGGTTCAGGAAATACTTTTTTCGGGATGTGGTCCCCATTGAGCATGGGTTGTAATTGTTTAATGATGCCCTATAAGGGTTCCAGTGTGGTGTGATAACTGACAAGTGGGGATATGCAATCAGAATTTTTGTTTATTTTCTGTAATGGAGCAAGCTCTCTCAGGCTATTAGGGAGGCCTGTTCTGTGATATAATCCACTCCTCTGGTGGACTGTCCTTATTTAGTGAAGGTGGTTTTAAGTGTGTTAAGGTATGTGTCTCTGACTTTTTCCTCAAAGCATATTCTGTGATATCTGACAGCCTGGCTGTAGGTAACCGATTTCTTGGTATATCTGGGGTAGTTACTGGACCTGGGTAGGTAGGTAGGTATGGTGATCAACACGTTTGTTGTGTATATAGCTGTCTGTCAGGTTCCTTCTGGAATATGTGAGGGGCAAGAGATGGTTCTTCAGTTTTTTCTGAAGTCCTTTTGCAGAGTTACTTAGCATATTTGAAGCATATTGGTCAGAGGGCTATAGATGATGAGCCCTCTGGGGGGCATGTTTTGTTTCTTGCATTTACTCAGGAAGTAAATGTCGCTGTTTTGTTTGTTTTGTTTGTTTTTTCTTCCTTCATGTTGAGGAATTTCCATTTCAATGGCAAAATTCAGTATCTTCCATTGTTGTTTGACTTGTTGTTCCCAGGATATTAGAGAGACATAGTGGATGAAGTAATAGCTTTTACTGGACCAACTTTTCTTTGGAGAAAGAGACCTACAACCCCAAATATGGTGTGCAGCTCTGCAGAAGGACTTCAGAAAAACAAAGAAACCATCTCTTGCACCTCCCATACTCCAGAAGAAATCACCTCATACAAGAAATTATCATGTACCCCCACATGATCGAAAGAAAAAAATCAAGAAACCTACCTGGAGATCACGCAAAAAACCTCAAACAACTAGTTAAAAACAAAAACTAACCACTGTCGGAACCAACTACAACAACTCCACAACCCACAGAACTTTGCCTCTGAGATAAACCATGGCAATAGGACCCACCACATGAATGCTGCATGACAACCCAACATCATCAATTTATCAAGAGTACCCCTAATTGCAGCTGAATTATCTGTACTTTACAAGGGACCGAAATTCTGCCCCACCACAGACCCTGATACCATACTATCATGTAGAAAACTAGAATAACTCTTTCATGGACTCTTCCTCAAGTATTCTTTCACAACAATGACAACACCTCCCACAACTACCATGTCCCCACCCACAGTCATAAGAAAAAAAGAATCATCTGACTGGACATCTAAGCTTCCTCTAAGCTGTGTGGTCACATTAAGTGTCGTGCAGGTATTCAGGGCTGTGGCGGGGAGACATGCTTCTCTCCCAGCCCTGGACCTGCTGCGGTGGGGAGAGGCACCTCTCCCTGCTGGCCCCAGCCTAGCCCAGTCGCGGACCTGCTGCGGGCGGGGGGGGGGGGGGGGGGGGGAGATGCCTATCCCGTGGTGCCAGCCCCGGAGCTGCCAGAGCAAGGAGAGACACCTCTTCTTCTGTCTCTCTTCTCCCCCCACCCCAGCCTAGGTGCTGAGAGAGGGGGGGAGAGAGAGAGAGCGCACTGGGGGGAGTCCTCTCTCCCTGCCGTAGTCCTGGGGCAGCCTGCACCCCAAACCCCTCATCCCTGACCTCACCCCAGAACCTGCACCCCCCCAGCCAGATCCCTCACCCCTTGCATCCCAACCCTCTGTCCCAGCTCTGAGTCCCTTATCACTGTCCCCATACCTCCAGCCAGATCCCTCACCCCCCGCATCCAAACCCCAGTCCTGAGCCCCCCCCCACACTCCAAACCCCTCGGCCCCATCCCCCCCACATGACTTTTGTTATGTACACCAATATGGAGGTGATGGTGCACATAACAAAATTCATTCCACACATGTGTGGAGAAAATTAGAGGGCACGCTGCTGGACACCCCAGAGTGGACAAAACCACACATTGATTGCTTCAGGAAAAAAAAATAGACTGTGAAATCCTTAACAAACAGCATATCCACCACAATCTTTCCCCTGCCAAGAGGACAGCTGTACAGTCCCTGAAATCCAACCACTAGATAATGATCAAACCTGACGACAAAGGGAGTATTGTAATTCTCAACCATGATGACTACATCAATGAGGTAAGCTGACAACTTTCCAACAATGCCTACTATAATGAACTTAAAGAAGACCCCCACACCACAATCCACCCAGAAATTTAAAGATATTATCAAATCCTTCCTCAAACAACTCCAAGAGAAACTCTACAACTTCATCCTGCACAAAACTACCCCAGGGATCTTCTACATGCTTCTTGAGATACACGAACAATGGAACCCTGGCAGACCCATCATACCTAGCCATGGCACTCTTACTGAAGGAATATCTAGACTCCTAGAAACTATCCTCAAACCACTCATCACACAAAAGGTCAGCTTCATCCAGGACACACGAAACTTCCTGCAGAAACTCTGCAATATTAAGAAGCTCCCTCAAAACACCATCCTTGCCACCGTGAATGTCACTCCTCTATACCAACATTCTTCACAATGACAGCATCACTGCCTACTTCAAATATCTACAAGACAATGATCAACACTCAGATATCCACCCCAAACACATCACCAAACTCATCCATTTCATCCTCACCCATAACAATTTCACATTCAACAACAAACAGTTTGTTCAAAGCATGGAAACAGCCATGGGTATTAGGATGGCTCCCCAATATGCGAACCCCTTCGTGGGCCACCTTGAGGAAGAATTTCTGGACAAATGCACCATGACATTTTCATCTTCTCGACAGATGACCTAAACTCCCTCAGATTTCCACCACAACTTCAACAAACCACCACCCATCTACTAAACTCTCTCTAGAACACTCCCTCACCACCATCAACTTCCTGGAGACCACGATCAGCTTCAATAATGGATCCCTACAGAAAACTGTGTACAAGAAACTCATGGATCACCACACTTGACTTCACAGATCCAGTAACTACCCCAAACACACCATGCTAGGCACTCAGATACCACAGAATATGCTTTGAGGAGAAAGTCCGGGATACATATCTTACTGCACTTTAAAACTGCCTTCATCAAACAAGGACACTCCACCAGAGACGTTACGTAGATTGCTTTAGGGAACAGGCCACCCAAACACCCTGAAAGAACTTTCTTCAATATGGAAATAAAACTGTCTGACTGCACAACCCTATTTGTCACCTATCATCCCATACTGGAACCCATACAGGGTATCATTAAATAATTACAACCCATACTCAGTGGGGACCCTGTCCTGAAAGAAAGCTTTCCTGAATCCCCTCTTTTGGCCTTGAAACAACCCCTTACCTCTCCAAATTCATAATCAGAAGTAAGCTCTCCACAGACCAGAACCCACCAACTCCAAGTGGCACCAGCTTCTGCCATAACAGAAGCAAAACCTGAAGACACATCACTATAGCTATAATGATCAATACCCCCCACAACGCACCCTTCAAGATCCATGGGTCCTACACATGCCTATCACAACATGTGGTGTACCTCATCGAGTGCACTATATTCTCCAATAAATAACTAATAACCAGACAGTTATTATTCTCTCAGATAACTCACAAAGAAAAATGATGAAAGACAAAAACACCATATCACTGGTGTTTGAACACTTTTCATGAAACAATCACTTCATATCTGACTTCTCAGTCCTCCTCCTCAAAAGAAAACTGCACAACACTTTCAAAAGACAAGCCTGGGAGCTTAAATTCATAACTTTGCTAGACACTAAAATCATGGTTTTAATAAAGTATAGGATTTATGGTTTATTACAACAATCTGTAACCCACTACCCCACCTTTTTTGTCCTATGAGCAGAGTGTTAATGAGCCACTTCACCTTAAATGGACCCTTAGCATATATGCTAACTACTTATGCTAACCAATCTGTTCCACACCTTGTATTTAGCTGTGACAATTTTGAGAACCCTTCCAAGACCGGGAGAAGAACTCTGTATAGCTCAAAAGCTTGTCTTTTTTTCATCAACAGAAGTTGGTTCAATAAAAGATATTGCCTCACCCACCTTGTGTCTCTCATATCTTGGAACCAACATGGCTGCAACAACACTGCAAACAGAGGTGTTTTTTGTGACTTTTTTTTTTTTTTAAACAAATCAAATCATTAATTTTTTCCAGTTTAAAAGCCATCTTAAAGGGAAATCATGCTGTAAAATAAATTCACCTAGTAGGAAGATACAAATGCTGTAGTATTCTACTATTAACAAAACTAAAAATTGGAGATGTAAATACTAGAGCCACTTGTACTGAACTCTGAGATCTAGATTTCAAACACCCCAGATTCTGAGCTGTTAAAATTAAGCCTTCTGGATTGGGGGCAAATCTGTCAATTTTTGAGATTAGACTTGAACCATGCGTGTCTGTGGAGTAATGGAACTTGATGAATTGAAGAGATTTGGGGTAAGGGGTAACCCCAAAACTTCTGCTGATATGCAAGTATTGAAAAATATATTTCAGAAGGAAGTTAAAATTATTGGCTTCAGCCACTTCGCCTAAAATGTGATTCTTATGGACTACTTCAATCATTCTGTGCTTTTTTTTTTTTTTTTTTAACTTTATTTTACAGTTCAAATTACCGGCTGGTTATGTGGGTTTAGTATTTCTAGCGTTGGCACTCTCCTACTCCCTGTCTTCACCATTACTTGGGCTTCTAAGTGATAAAATGCCAGTGAGTAAAATCTCTTGTTGCTTGTATAGTGTCATATGTACATGACTAGCTTAAATATGCAAAGTAAAAAGGCAGAGAAGTCTCTTTTCTGAAGTCTTAGACCAAGACCCCAATTCTGCAAAGGGGTCCATCTGCCCAGGCCTTTACACCTGCACTGAGTCCCATTTTCTTCAAAGGATCTGAGGTTACATTAAGATCACAAATACACTTGTTCATTATCTTTACTGTTTCTATGTACATTATAGCTGATATACAGCTGGATTTTTAGATGGGCTAAATGCATGATTGGCCTCTTAGATGTAAAGAATCACTACTCCAGGTAGAGCTGGAATTGGGGGGAGAGAGGGTGTGGGGTGGTGAACAAGCTATCAGGATTTTCCCCCCCCCCTTCTGAACAAATGTACTGGCCAGCCGTACCTTCACACTCTTAATGAAAAGCTCACTATAGGAATATATTTCAAATGAGCTTGGTATATGTGTGGGCTAGGAGGCTTTGGTGACACAGCCTTTTACCTTTGGAGATCTTTGTTCAAGTCTTATCTGATCACAAGTGCAAATGTCTATTTATTTTGACATAGTATGTGTCACTTTTGCCATTTACCAGTGACCACCAATTATGTAGCAAAAAGACAATAGGAAAAGCAGAGAGATTGAATATCCAAAATTATGTGCATGGTCAACTCTGTATGGCAGCAAGCACTTGACAGTAGTGGGAGCCGTTAATGTCACATCAGCATCACGTGCAAACTTACGTTTCAGCAGGTTTTTTTTTTTTTTTTTTTTTTTTTTTTTTATAAAGTCCTGAATCATACTGCTGGTGAAAACCAAGCTTTGGGCACCTGGTGGCAGAGTCTGCTTGCAATAGGGTCACAGTGACTTGAAATACCCTCACCTCCTGATTTGTCACCTGAAAGCTTCCGGATGCAATCCCCACAGTAGGCAGTACTTGCCAGGGAGTGCGCATGAGATAGGAAATGTACTGATCAGTGCCTCTCCCATACAGGGCCGGCTCTAGGCACCAGCAAAACAAGCTGGTGCTTGGGGCGGCACATTTTTAGGGGCAGCATGGCCAGCGCCAGAATGCCGCCCCTAAAAATGTGCCCCAGCCGCCCTAGCTCACCTCCGCTGCTGCCGCTCGTGCGCCACGGCGCGCGAAACAGCTGATTCGCGCGCTGCTGCTCACCCTCCCTCCCAGGCTTGAGAGCCTGGGGGGAGGAGGCAGGGCAGGGGATTTGGGGAAGGGGCGGAGCTGAGGCGGGGCCGGGGGTGGGGTAAGAAAAAAAACGGGGGGGGGATGGCCAAAATTGTTTCTGCTTGGGGCGGCAAAAATCCTAAAGCCGGCCCTGCTCCCATACATCCATCTATGGAGCCTCAGTCAGAATGTAAAGGAGTTTTCCGCAGGGGCCACTTTTAAAAGCTTCATTGGGGGTTGAGGTAATACTGTCAAACTTTTAAATTTGCCTCTGTTACCTGTCATATCTGCAGCATCCTCTTACACTGGGAGTAGGAGATACTGTGGTGCCATAACTAATACTGAGTGGCAAATGTTAAGTGTAAGGACTCGTACTCTGTTGTGATGGGGAGAGAATATTAACTTTCTCTAGAAAATTATTGTTCTACTTCCTGCTTTCACCCCCAAGAGGTTTGAGCTGCTTCTGAAGGAAGGGAAATGCATCTGAATGAGTCACAAGTATCTTCCTTTTCCCTGGTGGGTTTGAAGTGTTCAGAAGTGCCTTAACCAAATTATTTTTGCCTATGTGCTAGTTTGGCAGATAAGAGTTTGGTTGAGTTTGAATTTCTTCAGACCTTTGATTTCTCTTTCACAGCACCTAAGGAAATGGTTGTTGGTCTTTGGAGGCTTACTGACAGCACTGTCGTTTTTCCTGTTAGGACCTGCTCCCATCTTGCACATTGAAAGGTACAGTTTACCACCTTTTATCTCCAACACTATCAAGTGAGCTTTCCCCATTAATTGGCATTCTGTCTAATTATTACCACTTTATGTAGCCACTCAATGCAAGAGGAGTTTATCTGCTGAGCTTTTGAAAAGAGATACTGTTTTCCTTGCTCAAGCAGCAGAACACAAATGTACCTCCAGATGGGAGCATCAGAATACACGTACGGTTATAATTAAAAAATGACTAGAAAAAATAACTCATCTGTATTGACCTGCAGCCTTTGCCTCTTCAGAGATGTACCTACTCACTTTAGTCTGTGTGTGGGGTGGAGAATAATAAAGGTTAGTTTTGTTGTTACTGGTAAGTCCTCCAGGACCAACATGGCTGTGGGAGAGCAAAGTGATATATTTTGTTAATTCTTGGGATGCATAAGCAACTATGGCTATGTCTTCATGGGTGGGGGTAGAGGGGGGAGGAGGAGGGATCCCACTGAGAGCCATCTTGATGTCGTATCCAAGGGGAGACTGGTACTGTGGTGTGTGGTTTTACCTCAATATAGCTAGATGAGGTAAACGCTATAGCCCGCATTTGGTATTTATCTCAACTAATTACACGGAAAAAAAAAAACTACATTGCCTGTCTCTCCTTGGATATTTATGACATTGAAATGCCTCTCAATGGAAAATCATTGCCCCCCAAAAAAGTGAAGAAAGTCTGTGTTCCATTTGTTAAGCCACCTGTGCTACCCCTATTGTCTTCCAATTATATACTCTGTTACACCTGTGAAATGACACTGATGGCAAGGGTTGCTAAGATGTAGAGCTGGTTACATTTTTTTCCTAACTTTTGAAGAAGAACATAACCAATTTCAAACATTTTGGGAGGAGGAGTGAGTGGAGGAGAAACTTCAGGAATTAGTTTGTAGGGTTTTTTTCACACCTCTATCTCTACACCAATGTAACTGTGGACTGCAGAATGTTTAGTGTTATGAAACAAAGACCGTATCTTGGATTTAACAACCCCAGGATAAATTTTCAGGGTCAGCAGTTGGTAAAACCATTCTCTGTTTATACACTGAGCTCCCTGCATAAGGAAATCATTGACGCAACAGACATGGAATCACAGAATTTTTTATTTTTCACAAAGTCCATTTTTCAAATTGGAGCTGCACTATTAAATCTCTTCTGTCAAAACATGCAGGGCTATTTACTGGATGGTTTAAAATGAATATTATAGCGAACGATGGTTTGAAGGGAAAACTAATCTCTGAACCATGGAGAACTGGTGTAACAGTCCTAATTAACGAGAGTAAAGTTTATTTTAAAGATGTTTTACACCATTCCTTTCAATGCTCATTTTGCAGCAAACTCTGGATGTTTGTCCTAATGCTGGTTTTATATGGCTTTTCCTTTGGGATGACTGGTGTCCCACTGTTTCCTGAGATGCTCAGTTGTGCTTAGTAAGTAATTCTATCTGTTTATATTATTACTAATACTTGGAAGCTCTACAAACAATTTCCAGCCACCTTTTCATTCTCTGAGAGGGAGGGGTGGGGGAACTAATTAATTATTGATCTGAGCCTGAGATGTTGGGTGAATCTTTTGAAAAAGTGACTTAGGCTCTTGTCAAGTGGCTTTCTTGCTTTTTATTTTTTAAAGTGAGCTGGGCTTCTACATCACTTAAGCACTTCTGAATTTTATCTATTGTTCAGGGGATGTGACAACCTCAATATGGTCACGGGGTCCAGCTGGTTTTGGTAGTTTGCATAGCAAGCCATAAGACTAATGTGTATATATATTTTTAAGGGGACTTTTATTTCAGGTCATTGGAAGGGTTAATATCCAGCAAATACTGTTGTCTCTCTGGGAGACACTACAGTAACAGTTCTATCAGCAGGAGTCAGGATTACTTTAAATGCAGCATCTTCCATGCTGCTTGCCCATAATGGGCTGAGGTCCTCTTGGTTCCATGTTTAGCCAACGTGTATTTCTCCTTGGAACCAAGGGCTTTCCCCTTTTTCAGACCCATCTCTCAGCTTTCCTTCTCCTATGCCCCATCACAAGACTGACTGTGTATGACATGGATATCCAGTTATCACAGTCTCAAAGGTGATTACGCTGTAGTGGTAGGAATCCCACTTAACGTTGTCCTTATCTTCCTTCTTCTAGGGAGGTGGTGCCAGGTGGCTTAATAGGCAAGACAAGGGGCAGAAAGTTGTAGATCCTCTGTACAGACAAACTTCTCTGTGCTATAGTAGATGCACTTGTGTGTATTTTTATGTAGTTCATATTTCCCTGGGGGGGACATTCCCACAGGAATAGAGCACTTTAAAAGGAAAGAAATGTACTTAGTGGAAATAACCTGTCTGTCTTTCTCCAGTGACAATGGATTCGAGCAGGGGTTAAGTGCATTAGGACTGGTGTCTGGACTCTGTGGTGCAATGTGGTCACTTGGGTAGGTACACAGTCATGCTCTATAAACTTCTGGTGTTTTGGTTGCCCTGTGTTACTATAATGTTGCTGGGCTGCTTAAGTGTGTAGAAGAGCTGGCTTGCCCTTTAGCGTCCCCCCTGCTGGCCAAGTATGGCTCTTCAATGTCCTATCTCAATAGTCTGTGCTCTCAGGACCCCTTAAGAATGCCACACAGTCCAAAGGTATAACATGAAATTCCCCTGCTGGGGTTCTACTTTATGAAGTCCAAAGACTTTTTTGAAATAAAGTCTTTTGCCCAGATTCAAAATAAAGCCTCCTTGGCCTGCAGTCTCTGTCCCCTCAGGTTCAGGGGTTGCATAGCCCTCTTTCTTGGGGGGGTGGGGAGTCTGTGCTTCCAGGTTCCCAGTAGCTTCCTTCAGGGACCCTTTCACCTGCTCCCTGTGTAATTTTCTCCCTTCTTTCCCTGTGTTGAAAGAGAGATCCATTGGAAGCCCTTCCCCATCTCCTGTTTTCTAGGTATCTCTTCTTAAGCCTGGTTGGGCAACAGGTAGTCAGTCACAGGTGCTCTGGACCCTGCTCCCTCTTAAAGGGGCCAGTCTCCCAGTGACAAATTGATAATGAAAAATCACTTAACTTTTACCTCTGTCATTGTGTTAACCTTGGACCAAAGACTCATTACTAAACTGCTGCCAGGTGGGCATGTTCTGCAGTGTTTCAAAATGGGCAGGAAAGGGATAGCAGGATGGAATCTGAACTAATCTTCCTTGAGATGGTGGTGTCTTTCACATCAAGAAATAATTGTTGGTGACTAAGTCTGGGTGAGCCTGCAGTTCCCCTGTGTGTGTGGTTACTTCTTGGCTATCAAAACTCTTGGCGTGTGGTAGCTTAAAGACAGTGACACTGAACCTCCCAATAGTACAAGGAGGGATGCTTGTGCCTGAGATGAAGGATGTAGTGATGTTCCCATCACTACTCCCAATTTCTACCCTCTGTCTCCCCCTCCGCTCTCTTGCCAATCACCTCTTTTCCCCTTCATTGTCTGGGCAGTTTGATGTGTGGATAATTTGGCATTTTGAGGTAGGGGTGAGTGTGTGTTCAGGGCTGGCTCTAGATCAAATGGCACCCCAGGCAAGGAGTGCCTTTGGTGCTCCCCCCCCCCATACTTTTTTTTTTTTTTTTTTTTGCATTTGTAGCCCATTTCATGACTTTGATGCACAATTTGCATGCATGATTTATCCCTGTCATATAAGACTATCAATTTGCATGCTAGGAGCTGTAAATCTGCATGTATTCATGCCATATATAAGAAAATAAAAAAAATCCCTCTAAGCTTATAGAAACGTCTTAATTTTAAGAATAACTGAAGTGTTCTAACATCACAAAATTGAACTGTACACTGACATTGGGTGGAGCAGTATTAATTAGTGTCACAGTAGGTGACAGCCTTAGAATGTTAACCCTAGTCCTTTAGTTCAAAAGGTCGCTTTTCTTGCCTTTGCCCTCGTAAGCTGAAGCACAGCGTCAGAGATCCAAAGACTGGCAATGGCATTTTCAAGCAATGAAAGAGCAAGCAATGTCAGTCTCTCATTGGCCATCATTAAGGCTAAGATTTAATCATGGGTATTTTTAGTAAAAGTCATGGACAGGTGACAGGCAAGAAACAAAAATTCATGGCCCAGGACCTGTCCATGACTTCTTATTATATAAATACCCCTGAATAAAACTTAGCAGTTCCTGAGGCTCCAGGTGCTGCTGCTCTGGGGTCCACCAGGACACCACTGCTGTGGGGGCCTGGGGACTGATGGCTAGCCCCTGCATTGGCCGTGGGGGCTGACTTCCCCCAGCCACCCCTGCTCTGAGTCCCTGGGGACCACTGCTTGGGCACTCCCCGGGGCCAGCCACCCTGGAATTGCCTGAGCAGTGGCCTGTGCGGCTGGCTCCCAGGCCGCTCCAGTGGCACCCAGTGCTGCTGGCTGCAGGACACCCAAGCAGCTGTGTAAGGGAGTTGACTCACCCCTGCGGCACCTCCTGCTGGTTGTCTGTGGGAATTAGCTTGTCACAGGCTCCGGAGCACCCTCTGCAGGCTGGTGATCCACCTTACCTCAGTCTGGCCCCCGTGTTCCTCCCAGGACCTGGTGCCCCGTTATCTGGGGTGCTGCCACCTGGCAGTAACCCCACAGTTCTGGGTCTCCCCCTCCCAGGGGAACCCCCACCCACTATCCCCACTTCACCTCAGTCTTGGCTACTGCCAGTCATTACTTAGCCCCCGTTCACTGGGGCAGACTGCAGTGTATCAGCCACGCATCACAGGCAAAGGGGTTTGGACCTGCTGCCTCTGCCTACCTGTGGGCTGCCCCTTTGCAACCCCAGTACCCAGTTGGCCTTACCCTAGGCCTGCAGCCTGGGGGATTTCTAGGCTAGAGCTCCCCAGCGCCTCTTGCCTCGCCCAGTCCTGCTCCACCTTAGGTACCCAGGTACACTCCCTAGCAGCCAGGCCCTTCTCCCTCTAAAGGCAGAGAGAGAGAGTGTGTTTGCTTGAGCTCCAGGCTCAAGCCTTTATAGGGCCAGCTGGGCCCTGACTGGGGCATGGCCCCAGCTGAGCCTGCCTCCCACTCAGCCTGGGCTGTTCCCCCTGCCACAGCCCTCTCGAAGGGCTGTTTTAAGCCCTTCCGGGCAGGAGCGGGTGGCCACCCCGCTACAAGCTGGCCCCGGGATCAGCTGCACCAGCCACTGCAGCTGCGAAAGTCACTGAGGTCGTGGAAAGTCATGGAATTTGTGACTTCTGCAACCTCCATGACACAATCACAGCCTTAGCCATCATTGATCAGATATACATTTTAATGAGCCTGAGCTTCAAAAAGCTGCGCTTACCACTTGAGACTGTGATTGGCAGCGTGAGCAGAATCCTCAAAGCTATCCACACATTAGGAAAAGTATCCTTCAGCTTTGCATCATGAATGAATTGGAAAACTTGGAGTGGAGGGTGCTTCCCATGTTGCAAAATGTGATGGATGTTGTCCAATTCGACATAGAGGTCTTTATCATTGACATCTGAACATTCCCCATGTGTCAGCTTCCAGTGAAGGTCTGTACAATTGTTCGAGTGTTTTCCTGTCCACTGGCAGCTTACTAAGGGCATACAAAAAAACCCAGGTCTTTTCATGGTACTTCATTTGTCCAAACCTTTCTTCGATGGACACTTGAGCAGCAGTAATGAGTGAGCAAAAAAACTCCCTCCTGAATTTTTCTTCCAAGCTTCCCATCACCTCATCTCTTCCCTTGTAACCAAACTCTCTCTTCTTCCGATGAATGAGTTTCCTTGAAGAAAGGCTCAACTCCTAAGTTTTCTGCCATTTCTTTGGCAGCAGTGATGGCACCTTCAAATCCGTTGTCTCTGTAGGCCACAATGAAATCAGGGCAGCTTCTAGTCAAAGTAGCAGCAGTTGTGACGTCCATTGACTGAGTTTTTAATGCTTTGCTTACAACATTTACTTGGAACAGGATATCGTGTCAAAGCACAATTGAGATCAGAAATTTGAAGTCCGTGATCCGGTTGGCCAGGCTTTGCGCCTCATGTTGGATTCCGGCCTCAGCTTTACTCGACTGCTTCAGTTCCATCAGGGCATCATAAACCTCAGTCACTTGGTAGCTCGCTGGCCTTATGCTGTCAATGTGGCTCTCTGTGAGTGTCACCTAGTGGCTTCATGGTCAGATTTGTCGTTATCTGTGAGAATCTTCCACCTGATAGTTGATGCTGAAAACAGGAGGTATATCCTTTGCAATACTCTGAAGAGAGATACTGATTCTAAAGAAGATGCTGCTGCCTCTGACAGAACCAGATTGATGGCATGGCAGCCACAAGTCATGAAGAAAGCTCTTGGATTCAGTGCCAGGATCCTTGCCCGGACGCCACTGTTTCTTCCCTTCATGTTCATGCTGTTGTCATAGCCTTGGCCACGGCAATCCTGAAGCTTTATTTTATTCTCATTCAAAACATTCATAAACAGTTCTGTTAGGCTTTTTCCAGTCCAGTCATCCACAGACTGGAAACAGATAGTGTTTCTTTACTTGGATACAGCCGCCTTCGTCATCAACAAATCTTACTATAAATGACGTCTTCTCATTGTGGCAAATGTCCGGAGTGCAGTCCATTATTACGGCATAGTACTTCGCTTTGTCAAGCCACATCAATATGTTATCAAGTCCCTTCCTTGCCATAAGGTCAATCAATTCATTTTGAATTGTTTTGCTGCGGTAATGGTCCATAGCTTCTTTACGAACTACTCGATGTAGGTGCTCACTCATGACATCATTGGAGCTCTACCAAACTGAGGAAATTACTGCTAAGTTGTCCACTGAACATATCCGACAAGCCCCAGAAAGCCAAATTATTCTTTGCAAGTAATTTGAGATCAGATGCTTGTGCACTTTCCTCCAATGCTGGGTTTCTACATTTAATAATGCACTAGTTTTCTCTGTGTCTGCATTTATTCAGCTTGAGTCTGGACTTGACCTCCAACCATTTGGAGTAGGCTGTAAAATGGCCAGGAGACTTTTTATGTTGCTTCAGAGCATCAGCTAAATTATGCTGGTAATTGTACCCGGAAAGCAGAAGCAATGATTTGGCTTTGTCAAATATTTTGCAAAAAAATAGAATACTTTGTCAGTTGTGTTTTGAGTAAACTAGCCAATGCCAATTCAGTTTCTCACCATTCTCGAGCACTCTTTCGCAGTGTGACTTTGAGATGTGTCACTTCTGCCCATTTACTGGAAACATCATATCTTCAGTTTTGCCTGGCCCGTTCAAAATTGTATGATCTATATTGGCAGAGTTTAGGATTGCTGGCCATAAAACAGAATCTGATGTATCCATTTGCGGTGTGCAATTTTTCTCACTGCTGTTTCTGTCATCGTGCAAGGCTGATTCTTCATCATTTCTCTCCTTTTCATGTAAACCAGGTTTTTTTTCTTTCACATTACGCTCCTTTTCATGTGAGCCACATTCTTCTTCTTTGCTCTCCTTTATGCCGCCAGGAAAACTGGGCGATTTTCCATCACTTTCCTCACATTTCCATTTCTTATCTTCAGGTAAATCTGTTAATTCCTTAGTAATAGGACTTCCATCATTTACACTTTGCTCCTCAATTTTATTTGCACTGGGACGATCGCTACTACCTAAAGCCTGGTCTATATTGATCTGTTTCAGATATTTTTTCCATCAAATTTACCCCTTGATGCAAACTAGATTGCAATTGAGCTTTTTGCTTCCTATACTGAGCTCCTGAAGGCTTCTTTTGGGAGCATCTTTACTTTCTATGGGGGAAAACAGACAGCATTGGGGAGAGCAAAAGTCTATGTTCCGCAGTCTTAGGAAGTCCTCAAACATTATGTGTTAAGCATGGCAAAAGAAGTAACAGTATTTCTTTTATATTGTTGCTTAGATAGGGGTTTGATAGATCTCACTGGTGTCTCATTAAATATATCCTTTATTAGTCGCTACTTACACTCTTCAAGTCTTAAAACACAAGTACACTTTCACAATTGCACAATAAAACAAGGTTCACAATATCGCAGATGCATTCTCACTTCACTTTGTTTTTATATCTCACTGACTGACTGGTGACACCCCGCCCCTTACATACCCATGGGGGCATGGCTGACAACATTCTAGGAGGTTCAAGGAAAATGTAGCTCTCAAAGTCTGGAGGGTTCCACAAAATTCTAGAAAGGTCCAGAACATTCTCAAAGGTTAGTGAAAAATGAATCCACATGTGGAATACCTGAAACACTTTACTTCAAACATTCTATTTTTCCTTTTTGCCACTAACAAGAAAAACAGGACCCTGAGCCCAGTGTCCCAAGTCCAGCACCTCAAGCGGTTGCCTAGGTTACCTGCCCCTGAATCTGGCCCTGCGTGTATTTGGCTAGAAGGGAGGGGTTCCAGAGTTTCTCACCCAGTTGCTGCCATCAAGTGAGTGGAAGTTGAGGAGGTCATGAGGTATGCCACAGCCAGTGCTCTGCCCACCCTGCTTGTGTTGATAGCAGCACACAAGCAACAGCAGCACAAACCATAGCTTTGGGCAGCATTTTCCAGGATGTTAGTCTGCCCTGCTTTATCATCCGTATTGGCAGCTGATGGGATTTAATGGAACAAGAGTGGGATGCTCTCTGCTGAGTGACTGAAATGCTGGCTGTCCTGCTTAGTGCAGGACAGTTGAGAGCAATGCTGGGTATATGACAGCAGCCTGGTGGATGTAGTAAAGAGATATGTACAGTCCTCTCCTGTTACTAAGTCCGTCTTTAGATTTTGTAAAAAGCTACTTCAGTTTACACAAAGTGAATTGTGAACAAACAATAATGTTGTTCTACTGCATGAGAATGATGCTGTACTGTGCTTTTCAAAAAAGCTGAGCACGCACTATTCACATGGAAATCAATGGACCTTTCAAGGTGTTCAGCTCCTCAGAAAACTAGGCCCCTATATAAGTAGTCTAACTTTGAACACAAGGCCCCACTCCTGCATTGAGTTCTAGCACAGACCTGGGCACGGTCCTATTTAAATCAGTGGGACTATGCATGGGCACAGGAGTCAACAAGACACAAGTCTGAAAACATAAGTTAGTTTATATTCTGAGTAGCTTTCCCCACCCCACCACTTCACAAAACCTCAGTTTGGTGCATGGACTACATTGACAGACCCTGTGTCAAACCGCTCTAGCATGGGACTACTCCATAGATGTCTGCCAGCTGATGTGCCATCTATACATAAGTTATAGATCTGAAACCTCTTGTCTCAACGTATTGTGATAAAAAAATCTCTTAGCTGTGGATGTTGTAATTTCTTCTCTTTGAGGTACCCATACTTCTTCTCTTTGATATTTTTAGAGGTTTTGTAGGACCAACATTAGGTGGATTCCTAAATGAGAGGCTGGGGTTTGAATGGGCTGCCGCCATACAAGGAGGATGGGCGTTATTAAGTGTAAGTAAAGCTAATATTCTTGCTTGTTGCTTTTATTGCAGACTGCAACTGTAAAATATTACACAACTATTACAACTATAATAATTGGTGGCTGTTTCTTTAAAGGGGCTAGCTATTGGAATATTCTATATCCTAGAGGCCTCACGAAGAAGAAGGTACTGTGGGACTTTCATTCTTTACATCCATTTCCAACCAGATTTAAAAGGTTTTCATTAAGGCTAGGTCTACATGGGGGCGGGGGGGGGGGAATCGATTTAAGATACGCAAATTCAGCTACGCGAATAGCGTAGCCGAATTCGACGTATCCTATTCGACTTACCCCGTTGTGAAGACGGCGGCAAATCGACCGCCGCGGCTCCCCCGTCGACGGCGCTTACTCCTCCTGACGAGGTGGGAGAACGCGCGTCGATTCGGGGATCGATTTATCCGTCTAGATGAGACGCGATAAATCGATCCCCAAGAGATCGATTTCTACCCACCGATCTGGGCGGGTAGCATAGACTAGCCCTAAGGAAAACACAAAATCAGCTTAGTAATGAAAGAGACTTTAAACACTTCTGGGGCACAGACTACACCTGCATTTGTTTGGGTTTTTTGTTTGTTTTTTGTTAAATAATGCTAGCATTATGTATTTAAAAAGTATCCAGAAATTCTGTCACACATATTGCCTTTCCTTCTTTTCCCTTCCCCTCCACTCACAGATCCAGCCTACAGATTCCTCCAGGCACAAATGAAGAAAGAGTTCATCTTTTGGCTAGTGAGACGTAGCCAGTAATATTTTTGGATCACTGTTCATTTTTTATAGTTAACTTAGTGATGAGAAGAGTGGACTTCACACACACAAACACGCAATACTGCATAATTCTAGAGCTGGGGGTGGGGGAGATATCTTCCCATAATACACAATGAATTGTGGTTTATTTGTAACTGCAATATATTGCTCCAGGGCTGTTCTGATACTTGGATATTAAATGTTGAATGCCTTTCTTTTGGATGTTCCTGCCGTGCATTAGTTGAACTGGTAAATATCAGATGTCAGCCGGCTTATCTGTGTTCACTGTGCAGTGTTCTGAAAAGCGGTTTTGCCCAATGTGAAAGAATTTTATTTCAGGATGTTCTACTTTTTGTACTTGTATCTGCTGGAGACTATTCCAGATAATCTGTCACGACCATATTTTTTTCTAATGTGTATTTTCCTTTTTTAAAGGGAAGATAGTGGTTAAAAATATCATAACTGATAATATCAGATGTTCAAAGGGAATTTTGAAATAGTGAAGCAGTGAGCGTAATGCTCTGTTTAAATAAAACCAATTAACTTCTTGTTTCTAAATTCTGTGAATTTCTTTAGCCAAATGAGATTAAAAGTGAGGGTGGAAAGGAAGTCCACAATCTCCCTTGTCATCCTAATAAACGCAGGAGTGGGAAGGAAAGGCTAAAGTGAGAGGGCTGAATTTACACAGTGGGTCATATTAAAGAAGTATGATGTTGGGCCTGTTTAGACCAGGACTGAATTTGGCTCATGATGGAGATGGAGTTGGGTGGACTTAGGGTCTGTATTACTAGTGGATGCCAGTTGGGCCACTTACCTCTTCAATTATAGCAGAGTTTATTTCTTCAATATATAAAAAATACATGCAAGATTCCCATCTCAAAAAGCTCTGAGCACTCTGCCATCACTGTAAAGCACCATAGCTTGTATCAGGAGCACCCAGTGAGCCTCACCTCTTTAGAGTGCTGCTGGCTGCTCTCATGATAAACCCCACCCCTACCACAGTCTTCCGCAAAGTCTCGGAGAAACAGATAGATAGGCTCTGAAGGCAATTAGGAGTGAAAGGAGAGGGAGTTCCAAACTCAAGGGGCTGCTGTTAAGATCGACCTGCCAGCAGCATTTTTGCTGTATACTAAGAGGATTTTAAGCACTTTAGATGATCACAACTGTTGCAATATTGAACTGGGAGAGGTGGCCCTTTCTCTTGGCTAAGGATTTTGGTATTCTAGAAGCTGTGGAGGTTTCCTGTCTCTTTAGGAGAGATTTTGGCACCCTTACTTGAGGAGAGAGAGAAGAGTGGTTTTGGTGGTTCTCTAGCTTCTACTCTGAGGACTTCTAGTGACATGAACACACATGATCTCTGGAGTGGCACCTTTTCAGCCTTAGACTCCCTGTCCCAAGCTGTACTATCAACATGCAGCAATAACTAAACCATGTTTCAGCTTGGTTTGAATATTGCTTTGTAGTCGAGAGGGTGCCAAAGAGCTACTTGTATTATCTTGTTTCTTGGTAAGGAACCTCTCACTAGAGCTGGTCAAAAACATTCCAACAGAATGAATTTTTTCCAATATGTAGTAATATTCTATGGAACAGAAATTCCAAGTTTGACCAGCTTTGCTTCTTCCCTTGTAGTTCCTATTTATGCCTTACTCTCTGTATGGGAAGGGTGAGGGAGCTCTCGCTATCTGCTCCAATGCAGTGCTCTCTGCCTCCCTTCAAAGGCACACTTGCAGTGGTTCCCCATTGTGCATGCCAGACTATAAATCACACCAAATCTCTGGTTTATGTGCTTTGGGATCTGGGGTAGCTCAAATCCCTTGCATGTCTTTGCAAGAATTTGAGGGGGAGGTACCAAGATTGAAGACAGCAGAAGCTGAATCCCAAGTTTAATCTAAATGCTAGAAGAGGATTGTAGGATGGTGGATTGTGGGGCCAGTGGCAGGTTGGTCAGCTGGCTCATTATAATGAAACCAGTGATACCTTGTTTTCAGTATTATCTACTGGATCACCACTGGAAAATTAGGATGTTTTGTTCACCATTGCTCTGGCTGCTTAAGCATGCTGTCTCTCACACCTCTTCTCTGACCACTTGCCCTTGATAACCCTGTTTGATAGGCCATCAGGACTCTTTCTCCATCTTGGCATCATATAGCTCTTCCTGTTTCTAGGTGCCCATCGCAAACAATGATTTTTCAACCTAAATATTCTGAAATTGAGTTCTGAATGAGACTCTTTGGTGCAGGACAACTCATAACTGTACACAGAAATTTTTGTAGAGGCTGTGGGTATAATTTTAAAACTTTATAATTTTAAAACCCACCAGTTGCTTCCAAAACTTGACTTAATTTTCCACCCTGGATATGCTTGCACGAGACAGCTCTTCACAGTACACTGAGAAGCTTGGCTGAAAGGATGTTGGATTTTTCTGAGATTTGTAATTTTCATCTTTGCTTCCCCCAGGCAGTAAAGCTTGGCCAATGTACATGGCAGAGGGGGATTGCTGGCACATGGCATATATCACATTGGTAGATGTGCAGGTGAACGAGCCTCTGATGGTGTGGCTGATGTGGTTAGGTACTATGATTGTTTCCATTGAATAGATATGTGGACAGAGTTGGCACCAGGGTTTGTTGCAGGGTTTGGTTCTTGGGTTGGTGTTTTTGTTGTGTGGTGTGTAGTTGCTGGTGAGTATTTGCTTCAAGTTGGGGAGCTGTCTATAAGCGAGGACTGGCCTGTCTCCCAAGATCTATGAGAGTGAGGGATCGTCCTTCAGGATAGGTTGTAGATCCTTGATGATGCACTGGAGAGGTTTTAGTTGGGGACTGTAGGTGATGGCTAGTGGCGTTCTGTTACTTTCTTTGCTGGGCCTGTCTTGTAATAGGTGACTTCTCTGTACCCTTCTGGCTCTGTCAATCTGTTCCTTCACTTCACCAGGTCTAACATCAAATTACCTTGTGTTGCAATATTTGTACATAAAACATCTTACTATTCATATAACAATATCAGGCAGTGGTTATATGAAGCCTTGCATTTAGGTACAAAATATTTGCAAATGTATGGAAGAAGCTTATGCCATCTTAAGCATTTGAGAAACAACAAAGGGTTTACACCTTTGGGTGGAAAACATGGATTGGAAGTAACCAGTATCTTCTGTAAAATGTTTCCCACCATAAATGTTCTCCAAGTTTAAAGAATGAAGATTTTAGTGTACTTACAAAGAAATAAATTTCAGTAAAGATACTTCTAGAATTCTTTGTGTGGGTACAGGCCCACTTCTAGAATTTTTTCTTGGTATAGGCCTGCTTTAGCTTTATTGCTCTGATAACAATATGCAGTTCTGGATACCCTGATATATTGACCGGAATGGGAACCTGAAGATTAGTTTGAATGTTGAAACTGAGTGTTTTTGGTGGCTTTTAGGGCTGTCAAGAGATTAACCTTGCGGTTAATTTTTTTTAAACAATAATAGAATACCATTTATTTAAACTTTTTTGGATGTTTTCTACATTTTCAAATATATTGATTTCAATTACAACACAGAATACAAAGTGTACAGTGCTCACTTTATATTTATTTTTGATTATAAGTATTTGCAATGTAAAAAAACAGAAATAGTATTTTTCAATTAACCTAATACTAGTATTGTAGTGCAATCTCTTTATCATGAAAGTTGAACTTACAAATGTAGAATTATGTACAAAAAAACTGCATTCAAAAATAAAACAATCTAAAATTTTAGAGCCTGCAAGTCCACTCAGACCTACTTCTTGTTAAGCCAATCGCTCAGAAAAACAAGTTTGTTTACATTTGCAGGAGATAATACTGCCCGGTTTTTGTTTCCAGTGTCACCTGACAGTGAGAACAGGCATTCTCATGGCACTGTGGTAGCCAGAATTGCAAGATATTTACGTGCCACATGCACTAAAGATTCATATGTCCCTTCATGCTTCAACCACCATTCCAGGGGACATGCATCCATGCTGATGACAGGCTCTGCTCGACAAGAATCCAAAGCAGTGCAGACCGACACGTTTGTTTTCATTATCTGAGTCAGATGCCACCAGCACAAGGTTGATTTTTCTTTTTTGGTGGTTCGGGTTCTGTAGTTTCCGCATTGGAGTGTTGCTCTTTTAAAACTTCTGAAAGCATGCTCTACACCTCATCCCTCTCAGATTTTGTACAGCACTTCAGATTCTTAAACCTTGGGTCCAGTGCTGTAGCTATCTTTAGAAATCTCACATTGGTACCTTCTTTGTGTTTTGTCAAATCTGCAGTGAAAGTGTTGTTAAAATGAGCATGTGCTGGGTCATCATCCGAGACTGCTGTAACATTAAATATATGGCAGAATGCAGATAAAACAGAACAGGAGACATACAATTCTCCCCCAAGGAGTTCAGTCACAAATTTTACTAATGGGGTGTGTGTGTTGCTTGTTTTAAAAAAAAAAAAAAAGTCATTAGCATGGAAGCACATCCTCTGGAATGGTGGCCGAAGCATGAAGGGGCATACGAACATTTAGCATATCTGGCACATAAATACCTTGCAATGCTGGCTACAAAAGTGCCATGCAAATACCTGTTCTCACTTTCTAGTGACATTGTAAATAAGAAGAGGGCAGCATTAGCTCCTGTAAATGTAAACAAACTTGTTTGTCTTAGCAATTGGCTGAACAAGAAGTAGGACTGAGGGGACTTGTAGGCTCTGAAGTTTTACATTGTTTTTTGAGTGCAGTTATATAACAAAAACATTGACTTTGTAAGTTAGTTTCACAACAGAGGTTGCACTATAGTACTTGTATGAGGTGAATTGAAAAATACTATATCATTTTTACAGAGCAAATATTTGTAATAAATAATATACACTTTGATTTCAATTACAACATAGAATACTATATGTGTGTGTGTGTGTGTGTGTGTGTGTGTGTGTATATATATAATAGAAAAACATCCAAAATATTTAACTAAAAAAAAATTAATCGCAATTAATCAGTTTTAATTGCACTGTTAAACAATAGAATACTAATTAACTTTATTAATCGCAC